AAAATAACATGTCAGCTAAATCCGTTATGACAAATACCGTTAATGAAAGACGGACAATTGAATCCTTGAAGGGGGAATTTTGGCTACAAATGGTTGACGAAACTGAAACATAAGGTTAATGTTTCTATATTGGACATGGAAAATATCGTGTTGCAGCAGTACACAGGCCAAAACAATGAACAAATATTTTGAGCTTCGAAAGTGATTAAAAGCTACGTTTCGTAATGTTACTGCACTTTCACGTATGACTCTCTTGGGAAAAGATGTGTGTACTGTTGACATTGCATAGGTATGCAGATAACTGTGTTTCCAGTATTTCTTATTTTCGCCTTGATCCATTATGTCGGTAAGTATGCACTTTATTTTCAATCCAAACGTGTATATTATATAGATTGTATGCTTTACCATTGTTTATCATTAATCTATATTGTCATTTATTAGAATTCGAGTGAATAATTACGTTTCGAATCAGTCCGATCCAACTATAGTGAATAGCGTATGTTATGGTCTTGAAGAAAGTGATACGGAATGAAAAAAACCCAACTGATTTAGTGTTCAATACTAGAAAAATAAAAGGATCTCATACAACACAGATTAAAAGTATTGATCTTTTTAATGAATTTGGAGATACTGGAGCTCCTAATAACAGTGATCATCAAACATTGAACCAATTGTGAATCGCCAAAATAAAAATGAAATGTGGATGGCATGAAGGGAAATGGCTTGATGCACTTGAAAGTGTACTGTACATTGTATGCGTGTTAGAGTGATCTAGACAAAAAAACAAAAACAAAAAAGAAACTGACATACTTGACAATTTCGAAAATAATTAAATTTGATAATTTCAAATTAAGCAAATGACTGGATCTCCCAAAACAGCTTGTTAAAAGTTAGTTTGTTATTTATCTGTCGCAGTTGGGAACGCCCGGCTTACACAAACTCCACCTGGAAGATCATACGCAGTCGTCGGCGATACAGTAAAATTCAATTGGAATTACACAGTTGTTAACAAAGAAGTTGACTTTGGACCTTATGTCTCATCTCCAGTCTGGTATTATTATAACCCTGATGGACGTACTAAGTCGGTCATAGCAGTTGATGATGGGCTGCGTGGTTGGAAGTGGACGATAAGTCGACGAACGTGTCCACCAAGGCTGTTGTACCCTACAGTTCGCGTTAGCAAAGAGTCAGTTGCTACTTTGGTCATTTCTAACGTAACAAAGAATGACAGCGGATGGTATGGAATATCTTTGGTGCTAAGAATATCCCTTCAATCACCAACAAAGTGGAACTTATTGTTATTGGTAAGTATAGATCATTTTTTTAGTCCGGTTGTCTATTATTGATGTGACCGTAGGTAGCTGTCATCATATGTTTGTGGATCTGTTTTTCGGTTCTCTCCTGTCCTTCGAGGGTTTTTCTCGTCTAGTTCTCGAGAATCTATAAATACCTATTGGAATAATTTACTAAACCGTTGCCTGAATTAGATCAGGTCTGCACTGAAAG